ATCTCATCAACTCCTTTAAGGGTAGACCACACCCTTGATAGTATTGCGGTGTACAACTGAAAATCATAAAAAAAAAAAAAAAAATCACGTAAACAAATTATATTATAAAGTTAATCTATTTAATATTTAAACTAAATTACCTCCGGCTCTTTAGTTGTCATGTAAATCAAGTTTTTAATAATATCCCGCGTCTTCTTAAGATGCGGTTGGTGCTCAGAACCATTTCTATAATATAGAGCTAAATTCAAAAGCCATGGTGCCATGTATTGGAGGCATAAATGTTTCTGTGATGTATTGGATTTATAAAATCCAACAAAGAATTCCGACAGAAATTCTAGTGTCAGACCAGTCTCAGAAACGGCTAGTCTTCCACTCAATTGTTCGATAAATGTACTATTATTCGCGGGTATACACAGACCTGAAATTTAGTAAGAAATTTTTTTTTTTTTTAGTTATTATAATGTTGATAAAAATAAATCTTAAATTTGATTTACCTTTAGCATTTAGGAGCTGTTTTCCAACATCAAAATTAAAATTAAGACTTAAAGCTACTAATAAATTATAAGCCGCCAGTCTCAAATTTGGATCATCACTTCCAATGTTTAAAAGGGACATATTTAACAGAGTACCGGGCACACCACTTGGACTTATAGTTCTTGCTGTTACGCTAACTGGTTTTGCTATTTGATACCGCGCCTTTAACGTACAAGCTTGTTTAAATTTTATTTTTATTGTATAATGATAATATCAATGCTTCATAGAATTTATTAAATTACCTTTGATGACCTTATTGCATGCATAATAGCATCTCGCTTTGGACTCGTAAAAATGTATGTAGGTCTCCCACGATCTTGCTTGATGATAAATTCGTTATCATCATTCCTATGAGTGGAGTTGGTTATATCTTCGATATCCGATATATGATAAACATCATTTAATTGACAATTCAATTTATTGTCTTCTTAGCTATATTAATTGAAAATCAATTCGAATTGTAATATGTTAACTTTGGAAAGGGATAAAAAAAAAAACTTCTTAACTTACCGTTAGGATTTGGATAAATTCGCTACTTATTTTTATTGTGACAGGAATATGCATTCTATAATGAGAAATTTTAGTTACAGGTGTGTGACTTCTTTTTTGCGCAGTGCTATAAAAAAAACAATAACGTGTTCATCATCAGAATTTAGATTTTAAAGAGTAACCTTTGCTTCTTCTTGCAACTTTTTCTTTGCCTCAATATTTTTTCTTTCGGCTACATGTTTCCAAAAATTTTTATCGCTAATGATCGTTTACTATCCTTTAAGTTGATAAAACAGAAATGTCATTTGAATTTTTCTTATTACATATAAACAAGAACTGGAAACATCACGAACAAGCATCATGATTCCCAAAGTCCATTAAGCATAACTCATCAACAAACATGACAGTCTTTCCCACTACAACCATGACAGATTGCAGGGTAGTTGGTGTACTTAATGAATCAATGAGTCCAAGACGGTTCGTGGAGCAAACTCACCAACAAACGTGACAGTCTTTCCCACTGCAACCATGACAGATTGCAGGGTAGTTGGTGTACTCGCGCTCCTAATCCAATAAAGTTATAACATTAACATTATTAACTTGCCTTAAAAGCATTTTTCCATTTTATTATTTGCTGACCCAATTCTGATGCTTCAGCATAATATCTGCTAATAGTATTTAACTCATTATTATAACGAGAATACTCGACATCCATTCTTCTATGTCGCCAGCTGAAAATCGAAAATCTAAAAACTTCTTTAAAGAAGTTTTCTCCCAAAAAGCTAAATAATCAGGAAGGATTGGTTAAGTAAAAAGGCACCATAAGTTTTTTTATAAAGCACTATACAGAGAACGTTGAAACGCCTTACATAATAATAAGTTGGAACTCGTGAAAATGCGAATTAATTATTGTCGTTTTCAACTATGGGGGGGGGGGGGGGAAGGAAAAGCTGCCTTAAAAGCCCTTCTGGAACGACTACTCAAAAGGAAGGCAAGTAAACGCCATACTGGGGGCGAAAGGCCAATCTCCGTTAGAGATGGACGCGACCACCAGCTAAAATTCGTAAATCTCGTCCCATGGAGACTAATGTACCAAAACAAAAACACAAACACGTGATGATGTGCCACAAGATCTATCCAATAAAATTGGGCATCCTTAACCTAATAAAATTAGTGCGACAAAATCAACTCTTTCTCCTTTCACCCCGAATTTCTAAAATTACTGAGAAAATAAAAATTGTTTCGCTCAAATACTTTTATTTAAAATTTACAACTCTGTTAGCTAGTTCTTTAGCTCACTTCTTACAAATAGTTTAAAACACTTGAAAGAGTTTATTTATTCGATAAATTTTTACAAAATGGTTAAAAAATCGTCAAAAACCTCTGTTAACAAAACCAACAAAGGTCGCTATGAATTTCTCAAAAATAAGCAACCTGAAGCTAGTGGCCCTTCTCGTTCTGGAGAAAAGCCCAACTCATCCTTGGTCACTGACAAGGATATTGTCGACGATACTTATGTCGGACAGTCCAACCCACCACCTAACGTCCTCAACATTCAAGAATACGTTCTCATTAAAGATGATACTAACATGGAAACTGAAAACTCTGACTTTATTGTCATTCCTCATTCTTCTCCTTTTGCTTGCGCTGCCTCTATTAGCAAAAATACTAAGGAACTTCCCACCCCCCAAATTATCCACATGATTAACAATGTGTTTGCGCATGACGATACATTCAAAGGGCTGAATGTACATCATGTAAATTTTGTATGCTTTGCAGTTATCTATTTTGATAATGCAAGCTGCACTTCCTACTCAACTTCCTGAATTAGGCATTGAAAAATTTGTGGACTATACTGTGTATAAGGATAACACTCAGTTCCAAAATAGAACTTTACGTGTTACTGATATTCACCTCAGTCTTAAAAAAGAAACGATCACTTCAATTTTTTCCAAATACGATACCATTACAAACATCTACATGCAGACCAGAGACCTATGACAACATGCATTTATCACCTATGATAATCCAGATGCAATCAAATTGTTCTACACTACATGATCCTGTTATATTTACAATGATTGTGTCCGCATATATCCTACATGCTTCTTCCCAGAATAAGTCAAAGAGAGAAATGAATTTAGGATTAAATTAACCAATCTTTCCTTTGGAACTTCCGCCTGTGACCTTCAAGATATCATGCTTGCTGTTAAAGCAAAATCTTGCTATATCCCTGCTCTAACAATTACAAATCCAGACCATTCGCCATTCTTTATTTTGAATCAGTTGAAGACTTAAATAAAGCCATCACCAATGATTACGCTTTTGGTAACAATGAGTTGCATTGGTGCGCAGCTGATTCCAAGTGCTGCCATAAATGTGACGCAGTTGACCATATCGTAATGAAATGCCCTATAATTCTAGAACAAAAAAAATCGACAAATGAAGTTGACGAACCTAAACCTCCTAGATCTAAACTGCCTTCAGTTCAACGACTTTATAATCGTTTCAAACCTATTGGATCTCGCTCCCTCATCATTAAAAATACCAACTAAAAGAAGAATGACCAACAGATCCCTACATCTCCAAAAACAAATTCCAATAAAGGTAAAAGATCACAAACGGTCGATAACTCTATTCACAACCTTCAGAATACCTCATCTGATGAAACAAACAAAAAACTTAATAAAATCCTCAACATGTTAACAAAGATGCAAAAGGATATGTTCGAATTGGAGGCTTGTATCTCAAAGTTAGAAAAGCATAAATTTAACTCAGACTTCACCTCCATCCTTTTCACTACCAACATCCCCCACAAACCTGCTTCATATGACCTGGTCTTAAACTTCAACCAAAAAAACATACTCGCATCGCCAACTCATCATCTGATGAAAATACTTCCTCCGCTCCTAAGCCTGTCGATCTCAAACTTCAAGAATATATGGACGAACAAAACGCTATCATTGGAGACCTACACAAACAACTCAAAGAGGCAATGACTTAAATCACTCTTCTTGCCAACAAAAATGTACAATAACTCTCTTATCATTAACTCCTTATCTTCATTCATGATTAATAACAATAATAATAAACCTTCTAAAACTAATAACGATATACCTGTGATAACACCCTAACAAGATGTTACATTCTCACCTGCCCCTACCATCACTTTTGCTACACACAACATCAATTCTCTCTAATGTTCGATCAAAAATCAATTTATCAATGACACTTTTTCAGACTTCAATACTGATTTTATTGGTTTTACAGAAACTCAATACAAAGTAGATCAAACTTTTCGCAATCTATCTGATCCTACCTACACTTTCTATTGGAGTAACAACATCAACCTTCATGCTGGTGTTGGTATCCTTATCAAAAAATCTTGGGCAATTTATGTTCAAAAAGCATTTCTAAATAATGACAGGTTTATTTACGTTGACCTCTATTTAGCAAGCAATGTTAAGCTTAGAATCTTTTGTATCTATTTACACGCTTCTACAAAAATGCGAATCAAGAAAGAACAAATGAAGTTACACAAAAAAATCATTACTCACGTCAAAGAAGGACTTAAGTCTGACTTCAGAACTATAATTCTAAGTGACTTTAATGCTAACTTAGATAAAATTGGTCATTCATACGCGATGGTAAATCGATTCATTGGCAAATGGAATTCTATCAAAAGCTTTTTGCTCTGAATTTTCTTGACCTATATGACACATGTCATGATACACCCCAACCAACATACATTTCAGGACCTTATAGCTCCCGAATCGACACTATTTTTGCTTCACCCAATATCACCTCAGAATTTTTATATTCTTATATTAACACTTCTGACCTTTATTCTTCAGATCACAAAATCGTTTTTGCTTCTTTCTCTGATATTCGCAAACAACAATCTGCCAAATCTCGTAATCTACAAAACAAAAGGCAGATTCCCAACCTAAAAGCAATAAACAATGCCAAATGGACTGAATTTGCTGCACACACCAACCTTCATTATCGCTATCACAATTTTGATCATTTTAATAACCTTTTCACTAATAAGACTAACATGAACATCCTTTAGGTTCAAATAAAGACTGCTATTCTTGCAGCAAATCGCAGTTGTATCCCTCAAGTTTGGATCTCCTCTAACAACATCACAAACATCCCTTTGAACAACCTGACTCTCTCATTAATGCTCGCAAAGTTGCTTCTTTCCTCTTAAGGTTTAAAAACACCTTTATTCAATAACAAAACTAGCTCAACATTACTGACTAGCAAGCTATTAAATCAGCTGTGGATAAATTAGCCTTAATGGCTAAACTTCCCACTGTCACTCTCCCTTTCTCCTTAGATGCTTTCAATGTCTGTAATATCAAGAAACAGCTCAAGGACATCTACAAATCTCTCTCTGCTCTTGCTCAAATTGATATTCAACGTATCAAAGAAAATGCTATCAAAACTTTCATAGACAAAAGATGTGACAACCTTCAAAATGATCCTTCTAAAATGATTGACTCAATTCTAAACAGAAAAAAGCATTCTATCGTGTTAGATCGCTTACTTATCATAGATAGAAATACCTCTACAAATCATTTTACAATTGATCCAGATGAAATTAAAAGCACTTCTATCAATCATTTTCAAAACTTCGCTCTTCCCTCTTCACCTACGCCGCTAATGTCCTCTAGATGGTTTGATCAATTCAATCTTCAAGATTACGTTGATGATTCACACTACTCAAACTTAATGCAACCGCTTACATACAATGAATGGGTTGCTGTTCTCAAATCACTTCCTAATAATAAAGCTGCTGGTCCTTCAGGAATTTTAAATGAAATACTTTCTCATTTAGGCGATAAACTTCAATAATTACTCTGAAAACTTATCTGTATGTGTTTCACCTTAGGTGATGTTCTGAACGAATGGAAAATTACCCACATTTACCCTATCCCAAAGCCCATAGACTGGAAATGTGATATAACAAAGACCAGACCTATCACCTTGTTGGAAACTTGTCGAAAGGGCTTTGTCAAGATTATTACTAACAGATTCTTCACAATAATTGCCAAACACAATATATTACGAGATGGAAATTTTGCTAGTCTACCTGGTGGATCAACTGAAGCACCTATTAAAACTGTTAATATGTTGCTTGAAAATGCAATTGAAAACAAAAAGAAATTTGGATTCTACTCCAAAATCTCTCTAAAGCCTATAACAGAGTAGACTTACAGTTTCTTCATCTAACTCTCAACTGTATCAAAGTTTCACAACCTGCTATTGATCTTCTGATTAATCTTTTCACCGTAAGAAAAAATGCTGTCTTTACTGCACATGGAACTTCAGACTACTACGATGTAAAAGTTGGTATTGATCAAGGAGAGGTCATATCACCCTTGCTTTAGTGTATTTATTTAGATCCTCTCCTTTGTGAAGTTGCCTCCCTAAACAAAAGATATACCATTAATCACACTTGGATCTCTAACCTAACTACTATAACTACCAAGTCTCTATCTGCTAATGTTTCTTCACTTGCCTTTATGAACGATACCAACTGGATTGCTAGTTCAAAACAAGATTTGAAATCTATTCTTGAAGTTGCTGAAGAATTCTATAATCTCACTAGATCAACACTTAATAAGGATAAATCTAAGCTATTAACAACCAAATCTTCTAACACCACAATAATCCCTCTCAAATTTGGTTCATCTACAATTGATATTG